TGCAACAACAAATAATTATAACATTAGTAATAAATAGCATGAAAAATCTCTACTGGCATATGAAAAGCGTAAGGCAAAGAGTTTATTTTCCAAGGAAGCACAATTAGGAAATTTACAATTATTTCTTTCTATATTCTTCTTCAAAGGATAAGAGTTTTGCCTGGATTATCATCATTGGTGATTATAAATAAATGCAAGTATATTTGCATTCCCACAAATCTTAACATTTTATATCAAGCTCTGTAAACACTGGCCATTGGCTTTCATTAGAAATATGCTTTATTTAAAACTTTTACCTTTGTCCTTCTGTTAATTCTATTTCTAACCTATGAGCTTTAATAAAGTGTTTATTATGGAAAATTACAAACATTCACAAAAACAGAGTGAATAGTCCAATGAATCGTTGTATACATATCACCCAGATTTTAGAATTATCAAAGTTTTGCTACTCTTGTTTCATCTACTCCCTCCTTTTTTTCTGAAGTTAAAGCAAATCCCAGATACCATGTTGTTCTTGGGCATCTGTGAATTATTCTTTTCTATAGGGAAATTAGTTGTTAATAGGCAGAGGCTGAATAAACTCCTCAAGTAATTTTAAATACTTATTTCTAGATTGTAGGTATGACAGGAAAAAAGTAAATGTTTAAGACAATTATATTACACATTGACATATAATATATTCTTACTTTAGGTTCCAAAAGTTTTTTGACCATAGCTTAGGAACCAAGGCCAGCAGAACCAAGATTCAAAATGACTAACATACAAAAATCCGTATCTTAAATTTACATAATGTCTTTTATAGAAATCCAGGTGTTAATAATATAATTTATTTCAATTAACAAGTTAAAAATTTCACAAGGACTTTAAAGAGACAATGCATAAATACCAAAAGACATATGATTCATGTTAAAAACCAGAAAAAGCAGAAAGGATATAAAAGCAAAGGAAGCACTCTGGAGTCACAGAAATTAGTGAGCACCATCCATGTATCTTCCCTGCCCCCCAAACAGACTGATATCAACATTTAAAATCACAAAAATCTGAAGCAAGGAAAATATGTTCTACCTTTTAGGTCTAATTTGCATAATAGTTACTCCAGTAACCGAGTCTCCGTGAAGCACTGTGTGGATTATAGGGGCTGGACCACGCCACCTCGGGAGGCAACTGGGATGGACATTCAATATGCCACTGAATTA